AGAATTTTTAAAATGTGAATTGAAAGCTCATAAAGAGCTGTTTGGAAAATTCTTAGGCAAATTGAGAAGTAAAATAGCTGTCAGAAAATATCTCAAGTAAATTCTCACCTTAGAGGCAAGATAGCACAGTTTATACCACTGGGCGTCAGAAAAACCTTACTTTGTCCTGGATCTACATTTTCTATTGGTTTGACCTTTGTTGTATCATTTTAACCTCTTTGAACGTTGTTTATTTGTCCAACTCAAAATGAGGATGAGGATGCCTGTCCAGCCTATTCTGAGTTGATATTAAGCTAACAGCATGTTGTCAGATATGACCACAGTAGGGAAGCTGACATCCTCTAGACCTTCATAAATACGGTGAAAGTAGGGAGGGAAGTTGTTCGGCCCAAGAGTCTTGTGTGCAGTGTAGACACTGGCCTGTGAGCTCATCCAGGGCAGAGGCAGTGACCATCCCCCACCGGCACTGTGCTGCAGGAAGGTGGGGTTTCAGAATGGTTAGTGCGACACTAGATCATCTCGATGCCTCCTCCAACTCTGAGACTCAGTGTCTTTCACAGGCGATAGTGAGAACAGATGAGAAAATAGCTGTGAAAGCACTTAGAGAATCAGCATTCTAGGCAAGTGAAAGGTACTTTATTGATGTTATCAGTAGACCTTGTGGTGTTAGTCAGAGAGTTTTTAAATGTTTCAACTCCCTTGTATTTCCCAATGAAGCAGGAAATAACTTCCAGTTTCCTGCATGCTGGTGTATAATTTGTCTTAGTTTCATAAAGAAACTAAAACTGCGTTCCTTCCATAGTTCGTTCCCCTAATATCACCTTCTTACTAACTAGCTGCATTCCGTTGTTCTTATTTTGTCTCATACGTTTAACATTGACTGGAAACACTTGACCTGCCAGGACTTGAACTTGAGCATATGGGGTTTCCCACAGTCTGTGATGGCAACACCAGCAAATCAAAACAGGCTGTGCGTTCCCGCTTTCGGGGTGAGGGATGTTCTCCACCTCCTGGGAAAAACCAGGGCCCTGACTCACAGGAGTTGGAAGGAAATTGATCTTAGAGTCCTTCTAAGATACTGTGACTTCTTGATCATCAGTCTTGGGATCTGGCTTTCTTTCTCTTAAAAGAATCCCTTGGGGCTTTAGTGCACAAGTGATGACACTGATTCAGTATGGCTAACATTCATTGCACCTTTACTGTGTGCCAGGTGCTGTGGTAAGCACTTTACATATGAGATACACTACAGCCTCATGAGTAAGTGTTCACTTTGTAGATTAGGAAACAGAGGCAGATGTGGTTAAATAACTACCTAAAGTCAATTAGAGCTGGAATATGAACCTAGGCGTGTGATCCTAAAGCCATGCCTGAACTGTGCTGTGCTTCTCCCTCCCTGCAAGCAGAGACCTGTCAGAGGATTTCATATCCCCGGGTCCTTAGAGCGGTCAGAGATGTTAAGCAGGGTAAGTGCATTAGAAGTCTGATCTGCTTATGGTGTTCTCTACACCAGACCGGAAGCACTCTAAATACGAACATGGCTCCCAGTGAGGTAAATAGCTCAAATATAGGGAGCCCCGTGCCTATCAGAACAACCATTAATTGAGAGATTACAATTTTCACACTGCATATTTTATGTTTTTCCTTTCCT